ACCCATGAGTCTCTATGCTTCCAAGAACTATCAGGCACCCAGGTGCTCTCTTCTCAGCCAACACATACTGTCAAAGCAGAGCTTGGGGACCTCAAAGCCCTGTCCCCCTGCCTCCCACAGGGCTGCACACCTCATGGAAATCAAAGGTCAGCATGCACATTAAAGCAATGATGGTGAGGGTAACATTTAACATCTGTTAAATTAGCCCCAAATGGGTTGATTTTAATAATGCTAATGTGGATCCAAAAACTCTGGAATGAGCTGATGGAGTGGCTCAAGTGGTAGAGCACCTGCCTAGCAAAGGTGAGGCCCTGAGTTCAAACACCAGTGCCACAGGGGGGGAAAAAAAAGAAAGGAAAAGAACATACACTCTGGAGTGGTCCACTGTATCCCACAGAAGGAGTTTTGGACTGGGATCAAGTGCATCAGATTCACGTCCACCTCACCTCCTTACTAGAAACTAGATGAGGTTACTTATCCCTTTGGAACACTGATGTTGGGTTCCTCGACTGAAAACTGGAAGTAATAATGCTGATTTTGAAGAATGGATGTAAGAGTTATGTGAGACGATGTGAGCCAAACTGTCCAGCACATAGAAACTAATAAAGAAACAAGCACACGTACACTAGCAGTGTAGTTAGTAAAACCATGGTTTAAAGCAATACTATGTCAAAGCTCTTTAACCAGCCACTCCTGACTATTTACCCTGAAGAATATCATTCCAGAGGGGGAAAAAAATGAGCTGTGGGCACTCATTTTATCAATGCAATATCATTTATAACAACAGGGACACAGTTCAGCAATCCAACAGACATCTACAGGCAACAAACATCACGGTAAATGGTACAGTACACGCAGGAGCACCAGGCAAATGAAGCAGCTTACTGAGTGCATTCTACATCCCAGTGACAAGCATGTAAAAATGTGTTCTGCAGACATATGGGCAGAGATTTGAACAAGACCGAAAAATTAAAACAGCTGTTGGGCTAGGATGGTAAGGTTGAGAGTGATTTTTAAAGAGACCCTTTTACTGATGCTATATTATTGTTTTTACAGTAAACAATACTGTAAAGGAGGAGTGTTGTGGGATGGAGAAGATGACAACACAGCTGGCCAAGAGCAAAACAACTGAGCCTGAGCAGAGGGGGTGGTGATGTCAACAGAGGAGTATGTAATTATGAGGGACAGGATGAGGTCATTGCACCACGTCTTCCTGCCAGCCCCTGCCCCAGCTCCTGCCCTGACCAGCCTAGGCAAAGTGTTTATTGGTACCTGGCACAAAAGGAGTGATCAGCCCATGACGGTGGCAGCAGTGGAGGCTGCTGCCGCTGCTACTCTTGTGAAAAGCACTCAGTTAGAAATCAAGAGATTCCAACTTTGCTTCTAGCCCTACTTTGGACTCACTGTACAGATTTGAGCAAGCTACTAAATCTCAGTTTGCTCATTTGTAAAATGGGACAAAACAAAAGCCATTGCTCTGAAACGTGGGTTCTTAACCTACTGTAAGTCCTTTCCCTCTCTCTGGGTCTCAGTTTCTCCAGCTGTACTCTAAGCTATGAAACCCCCCAAGCTTTAATTTCCTTATTCTAATTGGCAGACCAGAACTGCCTTTGAAACGTGAAGGCCAGCTGTCCTTTACTGAGCGCTCGCTGGGTTCAGCACTGTACTTCACATGCATTAGTGCAGGCAGTTGCCCTCACTCACCCAAGACACCTGAGGTCAGGTTTCACACCTCCCCTCTCTCCTATCTGCACTTATTCCCTAAAAATGTAAGCACCAAATCAGGGGTTTTCAACTTCAGCACGGCTGACATTTTGAAGTAGGTAACTCTTTGTCGTTAGGGCTATCCGTGCATTGTAGGATGTTTTCCCGTTCCCTGGCCTCTATCTCTTAAAGGCTAGCAGTACCCACCACCACTGCCCAGTTATGACAACCAATATGTCTTCAAAAGCTGTGAAATGTCTCTTAGGAGAGCCACTAGCATGAAAGATCTCATCCAGGCCGCTGGCTTTAAGTACCATCTCCACCATCTCCACGCTGACACCTTTCAGATTTACACCTGCAGCCTGAACTCTTCCAGGAAGCCCACATTCATATATCCACCTGCCTGATGGGCACAGCCACCCAAATGTCTAATAGCATCTCAAAGTCAACATCTCCAACGCAGAACTCCTGATCTATGACACCCATCAAACCAGCTCCTGCCGCAGTCTGCTCCTTGGCAGTAAGTGACAGCTCCATCCTTCCTCCTGGACTTCTGTTTCTCTCTCCCTCATCCCATAGCCAATCCATCAGCAAATGCAGGGGGCTCTGCCTTCAAAACAAACCAAAATCCAACCACTTGTCACCACAGCTGGCACTGCCATTTCCACTCATCTCCAGCTGCTACCACCTCCAGGTGAGATGGCTGCAGGAGACTCTGCCTGGTCTTCCCTTGACACCCTTGTCCTCCTAGAGGCTATTCTCTGTGAAAGGGGTGGCCCTTCTGAACACAAGAAGACAATGTTTGCTTCTACTCTCCAAGCCCTGCCATGGCTCCCCAGATCACTTGTCTGAGTCCCACATCAAGAAGATGTGGCAAGAAGATCTCCTCCTGCCATCTCCCCGAAGCCAGGAGCCCAGCTACCTGCAGCCCTGACTGGCTGATGCTCCAGCCTCCAGGTCTTTGCACTCACTGGTTGTCTGCCAGGAATGTTCCCTCTCCCAGCAATCCCCACTCACATACACCTGCCTCAGTCACTCACTCTACATCTCTGCTCAAATGTCGCATTCTCAGGAGAATGAGCCTTTTTAAAATAACCACCTTCCAGCCTCCCACCCCATTCCCTTGGCGGATTTGTTCTTCCTCATGGCACTGTCACCATCAAACAAACTACATACTCCACTCGCTTGCTTTTTTATCATCTGTCTCGTTCTGCCAGCGTATGAGCTCCTAGCAGAGTTTCAAGAGGCACTCAGAAACTGATGGCCTTTGTCTAGGTTACAGTTACATATTCCCAGCAACTACAATAGTACCTGCCACACAATAGGTACTCAATAAACATGCATTACATGAATCTTCATGTTAACCCTACATAGTAACCATCCTTATTATTCCCATTTAAAAACACTTACCAATTAACTGCAAAGAGCAAATAAACCTTGCCAGGCAGGGAGGCTCACACCTGTAATCCCAGCTACTCAAGAGGTGAGGATCAGGAGGATTGAAGTAACAAAGCCAGCCCTCGGCAAAAACTTGACACCCTATCTGAGAAATGACTATAAGCAAAAAGAGCTGGGGTTGTAGCTCAAGTGGTAGATGCCTTCTGAGTTCAAACCCCAGTGCTGCCCAAATAAATAAACCTTAACCTTAATCTCACACTGTAGTCAAAATAGAAATGTAAAACTGTAACACTTTTAGGAAAAAACAGGAGAAAATCTTTGGAAGTGAGGCCTAGACACACAGTGCTTAGACTTGATGCCAAAAGCACTATTCCTAAAAGGGAAATTTGATAACTCTGACCTCATCCAAGTCAAAAATGGCTGCTCTATGGAAGTCTATGGGAAAAGGATGAAAAGACAAGATACATACTAGGAGAAAACATTTACAAACTGTACATCCATTAAAGGACTGGTGTCCAGACCTGCCCAGCCTCTTCTCTATAGATCATAAAGAGTAGTAGTGTTTGCCCAGGGCTAGTGGAATTAGGGTGAACTGGGGGTGACTATTAAAGGGTACAAGGTTTCCTTTTGGGGTGATGGAATATTCCAAAGTCAATTGTGTTGATAGCTGCATAATTCTGTGAATATATTAAAAGCCAGTGAATTGTATGCTTATAATGAGTGAAATGGATGAGATATGAATTATATTGCAACAAATCTGTTGCCCAAAAAAAAAACAATTACAAAAGTTTATATACTATATGATTTCATTGATAGAACATTTTGGGAATGACAAAATTCTAGAAATGAAGGATGGATCAGTGATCACCAAAGTGCAGGGAGGGAGTAAAGGAAGAAAGAGAGGTGAATGTGGTTATAATAGGGCAGCACAAAAGGCCAGCATTTTAACTGTAGTGGTGAATGCACAAACCTACAAGTGTGATAACTTGCATAGAACTAAGCACAAATACATACAACACAGAAGTGAAACTGGAGAGCCGGAGTAAAATCTCTATGTTGTGTCAATGTCAGTATCTTCATTGTCCTATGTTAAATGTTGCCATTGCAAAAAGCAAGGCAAAAGGTATAGGGAATCTCTGTATTTTTCCTACAGCTGCCTGTGAATCTACATTTACCTCAATGAAAATTCCAGTAAAAACAGCATACTGAAATCACAAAGGACTCTGTGCTACTCTCTCTTTCTTTTCTGATTAAACAGCCTCCTCTATGATACAGATGGACCATGAATCTTAACAGCTACTAACTACATCACTCCTCTTAACAAGGAAGAGCAGACTTCAGGCTCAATGCCAAGTCAAGAGGTGTTTAGTTGTGTATTTTATCTAGATGATATAAAGTAGAATTAAGAACACAGATTCTTAGGGTTGGTGGAGTAGCTCAAGTGGTAGAGTGCCTGCCTAGCAAGCATGAGGCCCTGAGTTCAAGGACCAGTACTGACCCCACCCCCCCAAAAAAAAAAGAAAGAAAAAAAAAGAACACAGATTCTCGAAGCTGCCAGACACGAATTCCAATCCCATACTCTGTTCTTACTGTGTCTTCTTAACCTCAGTCACCTCATCTGTAAAATGGGAATGACAGCAGTACCTACATCATGGTGTGGTAAGTTTCAAGTCAATAAATGTGTGTACACACATATGTTTAAACATTTGACACGAAGTTTTAGCTATCATTGTCTTATAACAAGGCTTGAGAAAAAAATCACAATGTCTTACCAAGTGTTAGAAGCACACATAAATGCCAAACTAACTCTCAGAACTGTCCTTCTGTCCCTCCATTGTCCTGAGCCCATATCCGGCGTCCAGCCAAGCCAGTAGACCAGGAAGTAGCACTGCACCCACCTGCGCACTTGGTGCGGCTGAGCAGCGGCGGACCGGGGCGGCCAGTGCCCCCGTCCCCAGGGCGTGTGAGTAGCACGCTGATCTCATACTCGGTGTCAGGGTCAAGGTGCCACAGCTTGTAGGTCTGCAGACTGACGGCGTGCACCTCAGCCCATGGGCCGCGCGCCATGCGGTACTCGATCTCCTTGCGCACGATAGGCCCATCCCCAATGATGGAATTGGTGTTGAGCTGTATGATGAGGTAGGTGGGGCCCGCACGCAGCAGCTGTGGGGGTGCGATGGGAGTCGGGGGCTCTGCCAGGAGACGGGGGAGAGGTGGATCCAACAGATGAGGATACCACCGTAAGATCCCTCAGAATCCCACCATATCTCCACCCCCAAGACCCTTTCCTGTCCTCCCAAACCTCTCAGACAGCTATCACACCCTGGACCAGACCTGCTCTCTGGCCCCACTAAATCCCCAGGCCCTAAGGGGCACAGCTCCAAAGACTGACCCCTCAGCCCACACCCACTTCCTCACTCGCCTCTGAATCCCTCAAGTCCTCGCCTCCTGGGGCTGAGGCGAGCACAGCTCGCTGGGTCAACACCTGAAAGGTACAATCAGACCCCGCCTCACCAAGCTCTCACCAGGACCCCATCCCCCACAGGCCCCACCCCTCAGCCAGGCCACGCCCCTCGACCAGACCTCACTGGGATGACACTGTTCCCTCTGCAGGCCTAGTGATTCAGACAACGCCCAGAACTAGATGCAGTTGGTCTCATCCCTCACGCCCCCAGCAGTCCCCGCCTTTTCCAGACCCTGACTCCTCCTCTGGCCACGCCCATTTAGCCTTCCTCAGGCTCCTAGGTACTGACCCTTGACGATGAGCTCTGCAAAGTT